TGCCCTTCTTCACCTCCACTGGTGACGGGCTCGTGGCTGTGGGTCACCTCCCCCCACACCCCCAGCCCCCAGGCCTGCCCTTCTTCACCTCCACTGGTGATGGGCTCGTGGCTGTGGGTCACTTCCCCCCACACCCCCGGCCCCCAGGCCTGCCCTTCTCCACCTCCACCAGTGATGGCCTTGAGGCTGTGAGGTCATTTTCTAGAACCACGGGCGCCCGCCCTTTGTCTCCAGGTTGGCTTCCCCAATGCCGGGAAGTCCTCGCTGCTCCGAGCCATCTCCAGGGCGACACCTGCCGTGGCAGCTTACCCCTTCACCACTCTGAAGCCCCACGTCGGCGTCGTGCAATATGAAGGCCACCAGCAAGTGACAGGTGGGACTTCCTGCCACATAGGGCAGCCTGGGCCAGATGATGGGGGCAACCCGGGAAAATAACAGGCAGCTTCCTTCTTAAGTAACACTGCTTTTCCTGACTGACAGAACGGGCTGCAGCTGCACTCTGTCAGAATGAGGTTCGTTCACCCCCCCCCCGCCCCCGGAAGCTGCTGGCTTCTGTTCAGGAGTCTGAGTCTGAGTTTCAAATCAGAGGGAATTGTTGTTTCTTCTTGCTCCTTTTCCCTGCCCTTTCTCCTGTGGTGAACTCACATCAGTCACGGAGACAGCATGTGATTTAAAAAGCTTTCCCTGTATCACTTATTTTAAGGGCATAAAACTTTTCCAGAAGATAATGTACCCATTAAAAATAGCAAGCCGGCTGGTAATGTGATTCTGTATAGCACTTTATATTTGCAAAGTACTCGATCAGAATTTCCATCGGTAATCAGGAAGCCATTTCCCCTTTTTGAATCATTTTTGGAGCCAGCAAGACCAGTGGGACTCTGTCAGTTTTCTCTAAGAGACTGACCCGCACCGAGCCTGTCACCCAGACGTTTCTGAGCCTTTTCCAGAGCAGAGTGCTGCGATGCTCAGTGGCAGCTGGCCCCAGGAATCCCTGAAATGAAGAGCCGCGTTACTTACCTTCCCGGCGTCTCTTTAAAGGACAAGCCGTAAACCCGGGAAGCTGACTGCAGGCTTGGGCTCCGGGCATCCCGTCAGGCGGGAGGTGGAGGGTCAGCGTCAGGGTGCCGAGGGGCTGTGGGTGTGACCCTGTGCTGTGTCTCCCCCGTCAGTGGCCGACGTCCCCGGAATCGTCAGGGGTGCGCACCAGAACCGCGGCCTGGGGCTCGCTTTCCTGCGTCACATCCAGCGCTGCAGCTTCCTGCTGTTTGTGGTTGACCTCTCGGTGCCGGAGCCCTGGGCCCAGCTCCAGGATCTGAAGTACGAGCTCGAGAAGTACGAAGAAGGCCTGTCAGAGAGGCCCCACGTGGTCCTCGGGAACAAGATCGACCTTCCCGCGGCCCGAGCCCGCCTGCCCGAGCTCCAGGCCCGCCTGGGACGGACGCTCGTCCCGCTGTCGGCCGCCACTGGGGAGAACCTGGAGGCCCTGCTTCTGCGTCTGAAGGAGCTGCATGATGACCACGTGGAGGCCAAGCAGGCACACGGCCACCAGCCGCCGAGCTGGTAGCGCCCTCACGGGACAGGACCCCTGCCGCTGAGCCTGTAGCACCCTCAGAGGACAGGGCTGCCAGCACCAGCAGCAGGTACAGTGGGGTGTGGGCGCCAGCGGAAGGCAGAGGATTTTCTGGGCTGCTGCACAAATAAAACCCAATTATGAAATGCAGTGGCTTTGAATGTGTGTGAGAAGCGCTGGGTGAATCATTCAAGGACGTCGGTGTCTCTGTCTTCCCCAGTCAACTTGGGCTCGCCCCTAACATGCCCCTGCCCTCTGGCCCAGGATCCCTTGGGTTCTGGAATATTCCATACCACCTGACACCCAGTCTGCTCCCCACGCTTCACACACCCATCACCCTCGCTGGCTAATTTGCTGAGGTTGGACTCATTTGTGCTAATTAACGCCCTTAATTAGCGGGGACCCACAGTGCTGACTGATGTTATAAATTGCTGCTGGGAAGGCAGACTCCCCTGGGAGCTGGGCAGAAAGAGCCTGTGTGGGCCGAAGGCACATTTATCAGCCGTGACAAAGAGGCCTGTAGTTTCACAGCCCCTTTGTCACCAGCCCGTGACTGGCTGCTGGGTCACCAGGTGCGCCCTGGTGTGCGGCAGGCCTGAGCGCATGTCGGTGTGGTATTCTGTCTGCAGGAGGACTGGGAGGCGTTTCCACCTGCCCCCCCACCCCGCCCCGGGTAGGGGGCGGGGGTCCCGCCGTCCTCCACCTCAGCAGGTCTGAGAGGCAGTAAGGGCTGACTCCTTCCCATCGTTCCTGGGGCACCCCGCCGAGCTGCACCAGCGGAACTGGGTGTGTGCTTCACGGCCGAATGCCCCCAATATCCGAGCGGGCCGACAGGCGCACCGTGGTCCTGACCCGCGCTTCGGCCCTCACAGCACATGATGGACCAGTGGGACGCAGCCCGTTCACCTGGGCTGTGCAGAGAAATCCGGAGGAGTCTGCCTGCCGGGTGGCCTGGGGCCGGGTCTCCATCCAAACCCCAGGCAAAATCAAGGATGGTCCTAGGGAGTTTGGCTGCTGGGAACCGAGGGGTGGAGTCGCCTGAAGGGCCCCCAGCGAGCCCCCCTGCTGGGGCTGCAGTCACGTAACTGTGGCCAGAACCAGCCCCCATCACCCACAGGCCAGCACCCAGCTCTCAGGAGCAACTTGGTTTTGATCTAACATCAAATCTACATCTAGAACAAGACAGCCCTTTTACCCAGGGCTTTATTTTAATGTCTTATAATTTCAAAGGTCTATTTTCAAACCCTGTTTGCTTTCTCTGCCAGGCCACCTCAAAGGGCTTTGTTAGGGTGAGATCAGGGTGGATGTACATTAATTACCATGCCTTTCATCCCCTGCGCGGTGGACAGAGCCAGTCAAGATGACCCTGCCTCTCACAGCCCACCCTCCCCACTCCGCGGCTTTTGTCTGTCCAGCTGTGTTCCAGGACCTGCCAGTTGTCATTGGCTGGAATTCCACTTGGTTTCCTCCAGCAGCTCTGAGCTAACCATTTTGAAGAGTTTCTCCTTGTAGCTTGTTCTCTGCCTGTCAGACCTGGCTCAGGGCCTAGTGTTCTCTCCCTTCTTTTCACTCCTACCACACGCGCGGCCACCCCAGCCAACCCCTGGTCAAACCACCACGAGGGATTGCGCATCCAGCAGCCACAAGTCAAAGACGTGGCAGGGTCTCGTGCAGAGCTGGGCGGGAGGCACGCCCAGGGGCCTGTCGTCCAGCCAAGTGGGTTGGGATGCCAGATCCAGCTCTCGCCACATGCCTTAGGAAACCTTTCTTGTTCAACGCAGGGAGTCCCAGCTTGCTGCTTTCATGTTGCCAGAACTTCCCTGACCCAAAACCTGAAGACTTTTCCCCACCACACAGAAAGCATTTGCTGTGATTTTTTTTTTAAATTGTGCTTTAAGCGAAACTTTACAGTTCAAGTCAGTTTCTCATACAAAAATGTATACGCATGTTGCTGTGTGACCCTGGCTGCTCTCCCCACAATGTGACGGCACACTCCTCCCTTTCACCCCAGATCTCCCGTGTCCGTTCAACCAGCTCCTGTCCCTCTCTGCCTTCTCATCTCACCTCCCCACAGGAGCTGCCCATTTAGTCTCATGTATCTACTTGAGCTAAGAAGCACTCTTCACAAGTATCATTTTATGCCCCATAGTCCAGTCTAATCTTTGTCTGAAGAGCTGGCCTGAGGAATGGTTTCAGTTCTGAGCTAACGGAGAGTCTGGGGGCCATGTCTTCCAGGGTCCCTCTAGTCTCAGTCAGACCATTAAGTCTGGTCTTTTTACTAGAATTTGAGTTCTGCACCCC